GATAGTTCTTCAAAAGTCCTGCTTCACAGAAGTCTGTCAGATATTCTAGGCCTGTAGGTCAAAGATGGATGCCTTAAAGTTGTAGAGGAACCTTGGGTGACTGTCCAGGCAGCCATATGTCTTTGCCGTGGCCACATGTGTATAGTTTGGGAAGCTGTTTGCTCTGTATTTCCTGTTTACTCAGGTAATATTATATCCTTCTTAGGTCTCTGATGGAGTTGAAAACAAGGTAGCTATAGTTTTCCTTGTTACCAAATTCAGAAAAAGAATTTACATAAGAGATGTAAAGTTTATAAGGCCAAGAAACATAAATGCTTAAATCATTTGAGAAAATGTTTTGAGGTCTAAAAAGATACTTTTGGGTTGGTAATACAAGTTTAAATAGAAAGTGAACCAGGTACATAACTTTGGACCCACTATTATAGGATAGACAGTGAAACATTTTCTCTGAATTTGCCAAGTGGACTAGATATTGTAAATTTAATTCTTACATGATAATTGTTCTTATTGTATGTAGTCTTACTATGTTAAGGCTAAAGCCTTTCTTTTATTTAGACAAAAAAGAGGAAATGTTGTAGAATATTTGTTTAATTAATTCAAAGATGTATCACATTTGTTTAGCTATGTAAAGATGTGCTGCATTTATGTTGTGAAATGTTTGTTTAATTATGTAAAGATGTGTTGGATTTGTTTATATTGCAGAACATTTGTCTAACTATGTAAAAATGTTTTGCTATTTTACCTTGCCTGCCTAAGGTACCTACCTTAATGGTCTAATAAAAAACTTAATAGCCAATAGTAAGGGGGAAAGTATAGATGGGACTTCCAGGTAGGGAGAGTAAGTAGGAGGAAGAATTTAGGCTCAAGAGAAGAAAGGAAAAGAGATGCCAGGAAGATGACAGGGGCCAGTCAGCCAGACACTGGGGAAGCAAGAAAGTAGGACATGCAGAATGAAAGAAAGGCAAAAAACCTGAAGGCAAAATGTAGATGAACTGAAACAGGTTAAATTAAGAGAGCTAATGGGGCAAGCCTAAGCTAGAGAGGAGCATTCATATTAATAATAAGTTTCTGTGTCTTTATTTGGGAGCTGGTTGGCTGCCCAGAGAAAGTTCCATCTACACCAAATATAAAAACTTTGATTCATTTATTAAAACATGCCACCAAATCTCTGAGAATGTTGACGAATTTCATTTTTTGTGTATTTGAAAAAGTGCATATCCATCTAGGCATAGAGATGCAGTCCTGTGATCCCAGCGCATGGAATACCCAAGAGAAGAAGATCGAGAGTTAAAGGACAGACCCTTTTTTCTCCTGAGGAAAAAAGCACGTATCCAAGAATTTTATAGTTTCCCTTTATGTATTATGCTGTCAGTTCTAAAATGAGAAACTCAAGTATTCATTATATCTACTTCTGCCTAGTTGAAGAAATAGTCATTGATTGGTTCGAAACACACAGACGTGCATTCATGGAGGCATTGTCAAAATAATGTGCCATCTACAGCTGCCCCAAACAATTAACATTTAGTAAAACAACTTTCTAATACATTGTTAAAGATAACATAATGACCTTGGTCCTCTAGCGCTTTTGTCTACCTGGAGTCATGATAGACATTTGCTCTGGCTATGGGCAACTGAGAAGAATTAAATCCCTTATACCTGTGATTATGTCTGTGTAGTCTGCCACAAGAAATTATTTTCCTACTCTAAAAGCCTGTGCTGGAAATGCCATGTTTGGGGCGATTTCATTAACATTTTAAAATGTTAACAATTCTGTCAGCCCAAACCGAAAATGGCTGTGTGAGAAATGAAAGCTTGCATAACTCTGGCACCATCTAGTCACAGCCCATTATCCCCCTGGCTTTTATTATGCAGCGAGGGAGTGGGGTCAGCCTCACAGAATTTAGGGACAATTAAGAAAATTACTGTATGCAGATGTGACTTATGGGCTGAGAATAACTAACTTGCTAAAAGGCTGAGTTAAACAAAATAAATAAGGATGATGGAAAATCTGCAGCTGTTTTCTGGCTTAAGGCAACCTTAAAGTTATTCATTATAAAGACACCTTCCGGGGATTTGCCCACTGTCCCTGACCCTGTCCTGATACTTTGAATTTTTTTTCTTTGACTGTATTCCTCTGGGAGTTTTAAAAAAATGTCCTAGGCATATTTTCTGAAGTACTTTGAGCTTATTTCTCATACCTCCCCAACGGGGATGAAAATATTGTCGCTGACCCCTATGCATTGTGAACTGCCCCTGGGCGCCAAATCTCACACTCTTATAACTTTCCAACTTTGTGGAATAAAATATGTGGAAACAGTCATGAGGATAGACTCTTTCACCACAGAGACAAAAGTGAAAGAAATAATAGGAAAGAAGAAAAGCAGAGCACACGTAGATAGGCAAATCGCAAGTGTGCATTTAGTTTAGTAAGTCTTTGCTCACCAGCTCTCCATTTTCCTCACAGTGAATGAGTGGATGACACAAATACAATAGAAAGTTTCCTTTATCTTTAAATAGATCTCAGTAACTATCTATTAAGCATGCTAGACACTAGGCTTTGTACTAGGCTGAAAAATAGTGTTTCCGCCTAATAGAATTTGTATTCTCCTCAGAAAGCAGACAAGTCAGGATAGAGCAGGCTAAGTACTGCTGTAGAATTCAGTAATAAAAGTGCCATAGGATCCTTGTGGAGAAAGATTTTAAATTTTTTAAATTACATTTAGTGTGTGTGAGCGTGTGAGTGTGTATGTATGTGATACCGTGCAAGTATGGAGGTCAAAAGACAATATCCAGGAACCACTTCTCTCCTTCTACTGTGTAACTCAAATCTTAGTTTTGGTGGATACTGATTTACCCATTGAGTAAGCTTGCCAGCCTAAGAAATGGGATTTTACTGTAAATTAAACCTTGGAAAGCCAGAAAGATCATTCGACGTTGATAAAATAAATGCCCGGGGTATATACAACCCAAATCAACAAATATTCTTACTTTTTTTCCTTAAATGTTTTTAGAACCCAAACAGAGATATTTTTCTTGCGGTGTTTGTTTTACATGAGACGAGGGAATGCTAGATGATACCATATGATTTTCAACTGTGGTTTCTCCTGTCTACCACTATGACTGTCCTCCTAAGAAATACTGTTCGGGATTTTAAATTGGAGCTCTGTTCATGGTGTTGAGAAAGGAGAAGCTTTCCTTTCCTAAATAAAACCTTGAGCCTCAGTTATGTACTAGGGTTGTATAACTCAGTATTATGTACAAATGGGTTAACTCTGTGTGGATGTTGCAAAGTAAAATACTCAGCAAAAATACTCAGCAAGCTTGATCTTATGTAGATTAAAATGCTACATGGGAAAGGGAAAGTTAGGATGATATAATATACAATATTATCATTAATATATTTTTAAAATTTAATTTGAATTACTTTAATTTTTTTCTTTTGAAACAAGATCCTGCTGTGTTTCCTTGCTGACCTGGAACTCACTGTGTAACCCAGGCTGGTTTTGAACTCACAAAGGTCCTCCTGCCTCTGCCTCCCACATGCTGCAATTAGATAGAGGTGTGTGCCCCATACCCACTTTACATCTTTGTCGACAACACTAGGCTGTGCTTTTCCTTCACTTTTGTCACACTTGGCTGTTGGCAGATTGCTTGTGTATCGTAAGAGCTCAGCCCAATCGTGTGTGAAATTAGGATGACATTCTGGTCTTTTACCAAATATTTGTGTTTTCTTAAGGTAAGACACTATAAAATTTCCTTATATTCTGTATATTCAAATGTCACGTCTTTAAGAGTATTGCCTTAAACTGTATCTCAGTCTACTGGGATGATTCACTTCTGAAACAGCACCCATTCTCTGACTTGGCCACTCTGACCATAGATCATCTTTTTTTAGATAAAAATCAAGCCTAAAATTATCATTTAAGGACATTCCCCTTTATTCAATAATTATAAGACTATTTCTATATGATGGATTATCATTTATCTTAGGTGGAGTTTTCCATCCTATCTTTTGAATCAAGTGAGCTACTAAACAATAAAGGTACCAAATTATAATATACAAACATGTAATGATGTATAAAATAATAAACATCTTTATAGAATTCTTATTTCTATATAATAATCCTATCTGTCTATCTATCTATCTATCTATCTATCTATCTATCTATCTATCTATCTATC